AGTATCTTTGCCACTCTTCAGACAATGTTTGCTGCGTGTGTGTGTGTGTGTGTGTGTGTGTGTGTGTGTGTGTGTGTGTGTGTGTGTGTGTGTGTGTGTGTGTGTGTGTGTGTCCCGTTTTGTTTTTCCATGCCCAGCCCGGGCCACTGTCAGCACCCAGGCTACAGCTGGTGTTGATGGAGCAGAAGCGCTGAGTCACTGGCTGCTCAGCGACCCTTACATCACGCTATTGTCCTTTCTTGTTAGGCATTTGAGGACTGTGTCGGTGGTTTTGTTTTGTTTCGTGTTTGTCTGAGGCCTAGCCCTGCTAGGAAATCTGACATCTAAAAACCAGAGGCTGCTAGGTCCCAGAGCTAATCACTCTGGGGCTACCTCCGGTTCTTTGAGAACAGCTCGCACCCCAGATGGCTGTGGGAGGTGCCGCCCCAGCCTGGGCACGTGCCCTGGGGTGGGCAGAGGCTCACATTTTTCCGCAGCTCTCCCTGCTGCGCTAGTTTCCGCCGGAGCTTCCGAACCCAATGTTCTGCACACTCCTTTGAGCCCAAGAGCAAGAGGTGGGGCTAAATGCCTGTGTGACATAAATACTTGGAGAAGTAGAGCCGGGAGCGCGCTATACAAATTTGTTCAAAGACGATTTGGACCTAACAAGTTTGTCATCTTATTAACCTTTTTAAAAAAATTATTATGTTAAAAACATGAGCACAAAGGTGTGGTCAGCAGGAAAGCATAAAGATGAAGTAAAAATTAGGCATGTAGGCGCACCTGTATACTGCCCCCCCCAATTCACAATCCTCGGCTTCAGTTCTCAACAACTCCCTTCCCACAAAAGTCATCCATAGCCCATCACTCAATCACTCAACAACGAAACAAATTTTTTTAAACTTTAACAAAATGTCTCATTATCCATTTTCTTTTTTAAATCTATAATTGTTATATTTTTGAGAATTTCATATGTGAGTACTGAATCATCCTTCCTCCAGTTTTTCGCATGGCCCCCTCAAATTTATGACTTTTTTGTTTATAATTATTATTGTGACATATATGCATATCAAGACCAGCATGGGCTATGTAAGGAAAATATAAAATCTACTGACCCCATTTATGTTGTGCTTATGTTTAGGGCTGATCACTTGGGACTGGATGATCAACCAGTAGGCTTGTCCCTGGAGATTCTCCCTCTCTGAGCAACCATTGGTTGCCTTTAGCTCTTCATGTAGGGATGGGTGGGGCTTTGTGAAATTTCCCCTATCTGAGTTAGCATGATGACTGGGGTCATTATAAAAGCCGTGGCTTTTGCTTTTTGAGCCAGGGTCTCATGTAGCCCAGGCTGGCCATGAACCCTATGTAGTTCAAAGAATGACCCTGTTAAAAAAAAAAAAAAAGAATGACCCTGAACCTCCTGCCTTTACCTCTCAGGTAATGGGATTGATCACAAGTGTGCACCAACACCTCAATGTGCAATATTCCATTTCTTCCCATACATGGATTGATACGAAATACATTTAGATAATTGGGTCCCTATTATACATTTTATTAAATGAAAAACATGCTTATATTATTAAACCATATTTTAGAAGTGCTGTAGGTTAGTGTGGTATGTGCAAAGATATGGATAAAATTATGTCTTTAATTCTTTTCTGCCACTACCTGGTGTGTGTGTGTGTGTGTGTGTGTGTGTGTGTTTCTGAAGAATTGAACCTACGGCCTTGTGTATGCTAGGCAAATGCTGTACCACTGAGCCACATCTCCAGCTCCATCAGAGTTCCTTACTGGATTGTTTCCTTTCCTGCTCTCTTAGGGTTTCTGTTGCTTCAACAAAACACTATGACCAAGAATCAAGTTGGGGAGGGAAGGGTTTATTTGGCTTATGTTTGCACATCATAGTTCATTATTGAAGGAAGTCAGGACAGGAACTCAAACAGGGCAGGAACCTGGAGGCAGGAGCTGATGCAGAGGCCATGGAGGGTGCTGCTTACTGGCTTGCTCCTCGTGGCTTGCTCAGCTGCTTTCTTATAAATCCCAGGACCATCAGCCCAGGAACAGCACCACTTCCAATGGATTGGCCTTCCCCCATCAATCACCAATTAAGAAAATGTTCTATAGGCTTGCCTACAGCCAGATCTTATGGAGGCATTTTCTCAGTTGAGGCTCTCTCCTCTCAAATATCTCTAGCTTGTGTCAAGTTGACACAAATCCAACCAGCACACTTTCCTCTCACCTCTGCAAGGTACCAGACACATTTTCCCCTTCCAGACAACTATCTCACATCAACCCTTGGCCATTTGGTTCTGTGGCATCTCTTAAGCTTTGTCTGTCTGGACTAGTAGTTTTCAAACTTAAGTAAGTCTGCTAGAAAGCTTGTCAAGAGATTTCTGGGCCTCTTCCTGGTAGAGCTAGGATGGTGAGGCAAGACCCTAAGAAATGTCATCTTGTTGGTCCATCACGGAGAGTCACAGATACAAGAGAAAAGGGTGACCAGTTTCATTACCTGAAGACATCCTCCAACACTGCTTTCTTAATGATGGTGAGACAAGACCCTAAGAAATGTCATCTTGTTGGTCCATCACAGAGAGTCACAGATACAAGAGAAAAGGGTGACCAGTTTCATTACCTGAAGACATCCTCCAACACTGCTTTCTTACCGATTCATTCCCTTGTATTTATCCTGTCTCCAAAGTTCTCCATTGAATCACAGCTTTTTCTGTATCCTTCCTCATATATACAGAAGGCAAGATGTTTTCTTAAGGTTGGGCATATAGTTCAATAGTGTGTAACATACTAAAGACCCCAGGCTCCATTTCCAGCACCCAAAATCAAATACATATCATAAAAAATAATAAAGATAAATTTTTTTTGTTTTTCTTCCAGACAGGGTTTCCCTGTATTGTTTTGGAGGCTGTCCTGGAACTCGCTCTATAGACCAGGGTGGCCTCGAACTCACAGAGATCTGCCTGCCTCTGCCTCCTGAGTGCTGGGATTAAAGGCGTGGCCACCAACGCCCAGCTATAGCAATAAAATTCTTATCGAGGGTTGTTGTGGACTATTAGTTGAAGATGTGTTATGTTTGTGCTGTGGAACACCTGTTTAATGATGCAAAGATGTGTTGCATTCTTTTATGTTGTATTTATTTAACTCTGCGAAGCTGTGTTACTTTGTGTGCCTAAAATACCTGATTGGTCTAATAAAGAGCTGAACGGCCAATAGTTATGCAGGAGAAAGGATAGACGGGGCTGGCAGGTGGAGAGAATAATTAGAAGGAGAAAAAGAGAAGAAGGGGAGAGAAAAAATAAGGAAAAGGAGAGGAGAATGCAGGGGCCAGGCATCCAGTCATACAGCCAGCTATGCAGTAAGAAGTAAAGAAATGTGCATAGAATAAAGATAAGAGCCCAGAGGCAAAATGTAGACAGGACAATCTAAGAAAAGCTAGCTAGAAAGAAGCCAAGCTAAGCCAGGTATTGGTAAGAAAGACTCGATTTCTGTGTGATTATTGGGGAGCTGGGTGGCCGGTCTCTCAAAGAGCCAAAAGAGTAAGAAAGTAACCGACAACAGAGGGGCTGACTTGAAAGGTTTCAGCAGAGGCTGCCAGGACCCATGAGAGTGGAATTAGAAGCCAGAGTGACCTGTCAGCTTCTCCTAGGGGGCTGTCTGAAGAGGAAACGCACAGATGCCCAGACCATTCACTAAGGGAAACGGCACGTTATCCTTCCTCCACATCTGGTAATTTCTCAAAGACAGTCAAGCCCTGATGATGTTGCTGGCTCCTTGGAAGCTTGTGTCTTCGTTCCCAAGGGAGGTGGGGGGAGAGTGAACCAAGGAGGACAGAGTCTATTTTCAGTGGTCAGCCATGGGGATGCCTTGAGGGGAGGGCAAAGGGTCACCAGCAATACAGTCCTATTCTGGGATAGAGACACAAGCTTCCTTCCTGTCCAGCTCAGTGACAGCCTCTGTGAAGTTGGAATATTTCGCGAACAGCTGAGGAGATCTGAAAACGGGCTGGGGTGGTTGGGTTCAGGATAGACAGACTGAGTGGGAAGAAGAGGTTTGTCAGGATGCTATGTGTTGAGGCTGCAGCAAAGCCGAGGCCATTGGGTAAGGTTGAATGGCTGTCATGACATAGAGTGCTGTCTCAGAGGGACTTGGTGGCATCCGGCTGCCACTTCTACTTTTCCTATGGTGCCTGGGACAGAGAACTTGGGGCTTCATATGTGCCTGGAGAGCACTCTACCACTGACTCACAGCCCACCCCAAATCAACCTTTTTCTTCAATTCTAAGGCATCCTCACCGTGCTAAATGCAATGTGAAGCAAGAACAGGAAATATGTGAATGGGGTGCCCAGCTAATGGATTCGGAGGGCTGGCCCCGGTTAATGGACTCTGTATAAGTATGGAACACCCTGAAACTTAAGACGGAGGTCAGATGGATGTGTGTCTCTTCACTGACCCCAACCAGCAACTAGAGCAAGGTTAAATTGAGGGCCGAGAAAAGAAAACCTTGCTCTTCTTAAGCGAGCAGAAGGCCTTGGTTGTGGAGGGAGTGCCAAGGGCGGACGGATCGGGCACCTCAGCCTTTGGATCGAAGGGCATTTGTTGTACCGGGCCTTTGTTTTGTTCCAGGCAGGCACTCTGCTGAAGGCATCTGGGGAATTTGGCCTGCAAACAGAAAGGGCATTTCCTTGTGTGGATTTCCTGTTTAGGTCTGTGTGGAAACCCAAAGGCTGGCCGGCCTCATAAATCCTCTAGACATTATTGGTGTGGACACTCTGGCTGGATGCCATGGGAACGCTGCACAAAAATAGAAAGGAGAGAAACACATTCATGCTCTGGATGTCGGGTGGGCTTCAGACTCTGTTTGCCCATCCTAGATGCAGGGGGCGGGGGTGGGAACGGGGACAGGGGCGGGGCGGGCGGGCGGGGCGGGGCGGGGGCGGGGGCGGGAACAGGGACAGGGACGGGGCGGGGCGGGGATGGGTGGGGGATGGACTAGAGGGGATGAGCAGAAGGGTCCCTCCAGCTTTGGATTCTCAGGTTGCATCTCCTTGAGCATCATGGGGCATCTCAGTCATGGGAGGCACCTGACAATTTACCAGAGAAAAGCATGATGAAAGTTTCACCTGAAGCAAAAGGAGCTTGCCCTACGTGTCTTTTAGAAGGTATTTTTGAACTCTGGTATTTCCCAGACTTTCCTTACCACTTAGCGTATTCCACAAATGGCAACCACCAGCCTGAGGAGTTGTGTAGTCTTGCGGCTAGGCTTTGACCTAGCGAGGTGATGAACGAGATATTTGTTGAGGAGACACCGCCCATTTCAGATGTCCTTCCCACTTCCTGATTTCCCCATTTTCTACATATGTCCAAATTACAGTTTGGCTTTCAGAGTTGTTGCCTTGATGGAAGAAGCCGTGTTTTCACACTTAACCCTGGCTGAAGATGGATTCGGAGGCCGACTCCACTTGGAGACTGATGGCTTGGGAAAGGAATGGAGTAGTGCAACAGTTTAGATCGTCACTGCCCCTCAAGAACAAGGTGTTAAAGGCTCGTTCCCTGGTTTCTGGTGCTATCAGGAGGAAGTGGAACCTACAAAAGACATGCATAATGCGAGGAAACGGGGTCACTGGGGATACACATGGATTGTGGGATGCTGGCAACGCCCCTTCCTCTCTTTGGCTTTCTAGTAATTAACTGTGTCCTGCATTCCTGACACTGTGCTACCTTGCAGCAGACCCGAAATCACTGGAGCCAACCTGCATCTGAAACCCTGAACCACAATATTTTTTTTCTTTTCTAAAAAAAAAATCTATCATTTCAAGCATTTGTTATAACAATGAAAAACTGTCTAGTACTGGCCAGAGAGGGATTTCTCCTGGAAGTGCTTTGGTCCCTAGAGGATCTTCTCGTGGTCCTGATGATACTGCTTTCTTCGTTTGTTTTTCTCATTTATCCTTGTTTGTGTCCTTTAAAAAACTGTTGTAACTATCATTTTGTTTTGGGGAGGTACTCAAGTGATTACTGGACCACATTATGCTAATCATCTTTAGTCTGTAAGAACAGTGTCTAGTAAATTAATTGGATTTTCTACTTAAAGAAGAGCAGATCCATTATACAGCAACATTTCCCAAGAGAAGACAACCACAGAGACCAGCAGCAATGTATTCTCAGTTCTCTGGGGCGTGGATTTGTGATGTTGGTCTTTGAGCTGCAGGCCCTCAGACCTGTTCTCCAAGGTCCAGTGTAACAGGGAAGGAGGCTTGAGTCCAGGGTCCATTCTTGGCGCGTCAGTTGGAGTTATCATCGTCATATTATTATTTGGTTTTTAAATACAGGGTTTCTCTCTGTAACCTTGACTATCCTGGAACTTTCTCTATAGACCAGCTGGCCCTGAACTCGCAAAAATCCACCTGCATCTGACTCCTGAGTGCTGGGATTAAAGGTGTGTGCCACCAACGTCTGGTGAACAGTTCCTATATTCTAAGTAAACTTTAATATGATCATCATTGGCATGAGCTACCACTGCCTGACATTGGTTGGAATTCTTGGTAGCAACTGTGTAAAACTCAAGTGGGAGATGGATTTAATGGAGAAATGTTACTTTGCTCTCAGAATCCATGGGAAGGCTGGGGAACCAGGTGACAAGAGTGAATAATTAGGGTTTTCCAAGAGGGTTCAGTGGGTAAAGACGCTTGTCGCCATGCCTGACATCCCAAGCAGATTTCTGGAAGCCACATGGTAGAAGGAGAGAACTAGCTCCTCTAACTTCTCCTCTGACCTCCATACATGTTTGTGCACACACAACAAATGTTTTCATTTTCATTTTTAAAGAAAAGACGATGATCAGGAGAAGGAGCTGACCACAGAGATACTGCCACCAGGCTGTCACTCCTGGACCTTGGCCATCATGTCGCTGGTCCCTGGCACCCTGTATGTTCATCACAAAGCTGCCTGACACACACACAGTGCCTCTGGCACAGCCACTACAGGTGACTTCTGCCTCCCCGGGGGGTGGGGGAGTGGGGGGGTGAGGTGGGGGGTGGGGTGGGGGGTGTGTGTGTCATATCCCAGCTCTGAGCAGCTGAGCACCAGCCATGTGCTGTTTCTGAGTTGCTGGGCTGGAGGGAAGCTCTGTGCCCTCTTCACCTTCTAAAGTGGTAATGGAGTCCCACCTCTCCTTTCCTGGGTCTTCCTTGCCAAGAAGAAAGACATTTAAGGACTGGGTGCCCAGGAACGACCAGTGCGCACATTTAGGTATAGCAGTCTCTCAGTACCCACACTTTCAGCTACTTGTGGTCAACCATAATCCAAAAATAAAAAATGGAAAATCCTAGAAATAAACAGTTCCTGTATTCTAAGTAAACTTTATTTTGATGCATCATTATATTCTGTTTCAGTATTAGATATTATTGCTATTTATTTCTGAACCTAACAAACTTTATCATAGGTATATATGTAGGCTACATATGATATATTATATATGACAAACTATTATAAGTCTATGTAGGATACACACACTACACACATATATACACACACACACATTCACATATATATTCAGTGGTACCTACAGTTTAGGTACCACTTAAAGAGCAGTCACATGGCAAGGCAGGTGCCTGCAAAGGCAGACTCCTGTGTTAATGCACCTTCAAAGTAGCCTTTCCCTAAACTTCATAGTGCAAGCTGAGCATGCCCAGATGCATTCTTGTCCATCACTTTCATCTTCACGCCCGTAAACTGAGCATGCTTAAGAGTGGAAGGGCCGAATCCCTGTATGAATTGGATAGGACTCTCCCACACTGTCCTTGACTCCTGCAGGTTGTACATCTCTGCTCGGTTACGCCTTAGTTGACCTTACGTTGTCTTTGGTCTCACCAAGAAGTGACTTCATCATGTTCAGCTACACAAGAGCTCGGAAAGGCAGGTCCCTAAGCAGACCAGCCGTGTTCAGCAGTGAACCTCCTCTGCAGAGTGATACAGGGTGTGGCTTCTCTTCAACCCCCATTCCTTGTGTGCAAAAGACTCCATTTTCATGTGGTTGAAAATGTGGTCTTTGGAAGAACTGGCCTTGGATAATGAAATCAGACTGAATTATAAACTGAGAATTGTCTTTTTCGTTCAGAGCAACTAGAAGGCCAGGAGTAACAGAGTGTTTGGAGAATTTTTTTCTTCCTTTAATGAATGTACAGTTTAGAGAAGCCAAATAAATAGATTGATACTGCCCCAGAGAAAGGCCTGTAAGTGCAGGGGATGGGAAAGGCGTGGAAAATGTAAACATGGATCTTTTTTTGACTTCCTTCCTTGGGAACACATCTTTCACTTGTAAATGTCCAAACACTGAGGTGGAGTCCAGAGACCAAAAAATGAAGTTCAAGGACAAACTTGGTGTTGCTGTGGCCCTGATGGACTCTTAGGTGCCTAATATAGAAGCAAACCTAGTCTGTGCCTCGGGGAGCTAGTGGGTTGGCCACTGAGAGTAGAATCTTAGGTGTGGAACTGGAAGCCGCCATTACTGCACAAGAAAAATCCCATTGTTTTGAACTGGACCGGGATCCGTGCACCTCGGGGGAGATATATTTTGAGAGCACTGGGACTCAGGCTTTATGACCTCTCAGGATTGTAATAATTAAAAAAAAATGATCTGCTTTCCAGGAAGATGCTTCCCAGAAATGAAAACAAGAAACCAGATCAGGGGCTGGAGAGCTAGCGGAGTGATTAAGAGCACTGACTGCTCTTCCAGAGGACCTGGGTTCAAGTCCCAGCACCCACATGGCATCTCACAACTGTCTGTAATTCCTGTTCCAGGGGATCTGACACCCTCACACAGACATACATGCAGGCAAAACACCAATGTACATAAAAATTTTTTTTTAAAAATCAAGAAATCAAATCAAGTCTATGTCTTTGGGTTGGACATATCCCTACAGGGGTAACATGGGATCTTTTTATTTTTTTTTCTAGGAATACACGTTAGAAGCAGGAGATGGGCATCTAAGCATGGCAGAAGGTTCTGCGCTGTGGTGTGGCTGTGTGCAGGAGGCCAGCCACCTGGACCTGAATCCCCACTGTAACTGAATTTCATTGAATAGGCAAGATTTGATGACTACCGTGACAGAATGCCCAGGTTATCGCTGAAAAACCACTAAGGACTCAAGGAATCTCCTGGAATAGGAGCCTATTGATTGCCAGCAGGTTGAGCTGAGCTGTGTGGTACCTGTCCTAACTTAGCGTCTTTGTAAGGATATCTCTGAAGGGACTGAGACAGGGAGGCGGGAACAATGTGGGGGACTTGTCCGTATGATGCCGTGGGCACAGTTGGTAGGTGAAGCAGACTACAATTTTCAGTGTCATCACATCTTTGATGCGACAAGTCCACAAGTAAAGGGCATGTGTTCTCAAGCAAAGTTTCAGATTTCAGGGTGAGAAGTTTGCCTTCGGCAGTCCGAGTCCCTTAATTCCCTTTCATTTATCTAGAGCAGTGGTTCTCACCCTGTGAGAAGCGACCCATTGGAGGGCGTCACATATCATATCTCCTGGTCATCAGATACTTACATTATGCATAACAGTAATAAAGTTACAGCTATGGAGTAGCAACAAAGATAATTTTATGGTCACCGCATCATGAGGAAGTGTGGAAGGGTCACAGCATTAGGATGCCTGAAAACCACTGGTCTAGAGGAATGTGTGACTCAAACAGAAGATGGCAAGGCAAAATGATCAGGGAAACAGATTGTATGAATGTGGCCAGAGACCGAGGACAGCCATAGGTACGGGAGCTGTAAAGAGGCTAAGAATGCTGCCTGCTGGTACCTTGATGTTGGCCTAGTGAAGTGAAAGTGGTTCCGATCTTTGAATGCTTGAAAGAATAAATTTGTTTTTAGCTGCTTGTTATAGCAGCTCTAGGAAACTGAGACAGAGGTTGGTCATGACTGTGTCCCACGACAAGAAGCAAAGAGCTCCTAAGCAAGCTGTTTCTTTCTTCCTCCCTCCTTTTTTTTGAGACTGCATCTCACCGCGTAACCAAGGCAGGCTTCCCTCTTGCAGTCTTCCAGACACTGAGGCAGGAGGATATTTCTATTGTGTTGTTTAGTCCTCAACTCTAGCAGCACCTTCTGTAATGACACAGACTTTCACAGAGTGAGATGGGACCTGCAGTGAGCAGTGACCTTTATTATTATTATTTTTAAAGGTGAATGAAATCAGATGAAAGCCTGCGCATCTTCACCCTTGGTGTAGGGAACCACATTCTTGCCTGTGCCTGTCATTTTTGAAAATCACATCTATTTACTTGTGCTTGGGGGTGGGGGACGGGCATATATATGACTGTGTGGAGGTCAGAGGACAACTTACAGAAGTTAATTTTCTCTCTTTTTGGAGATCAGACTGATGGGTTTAGGCTTAGAGTCAGCTCCCTAGCTCTCTACCACGCACACACACACACACACACACACACACAAACACACACACACACACACAAACACACCACTATTTTTTTGAGATAGGGCCTCACCCTGAACCCAGAGCTCCCTGATTCAGTTAAACCAGCTGACCAGCAAGCCCCAGGGATCTTCTTGTCTCTGTTCAGGTTTGTGCAAGCCACTACACTCCTGCTTTATACATGGACATTGGGGATTTGAACATGGGTCTCCATGATTGTGCTGCAGGCACTTTACTAACTGAACCTGGCTCTGGAAGCAACATTTTGGTGCTCATGGCCTCAGCACTCATAGAGTTCCTGACATACCAAAAGATGATCAATTTGGTTATGGACTGTGGTTATTAAGTTAGAATTCTTTAAGCTGATTCCAATGGTGGGTTAGCAGAGGGTGGCCTGGCTCAGCTCACTTAGACATGGGCCAGGACAGTGATTTTACAGACTGAGGTTGTCTGGAATCGTGCCTGTAGAAGTCATGGCCATTTGGGCTTCAAATTTTGGTTGTCACTCTGAAGACACATGCCCTTCTTCCTTCTGTGAACACCCTCCCGACATGGCATTCTGACCTAACTCTAGGAGGCATTGCCTGACAGGAAAATGAACACCCTCCCGACATGGCATTCTGACCTAACTCTAGGAGGCATTGCCTGACAGGAAAATGAAAGGAGGGCTTTGTGAAGCTAGGGTGTGGTACTAATTGCAAGACAAGCTGGAGCCTAAAATAAATTTTGGTTGTATGGGAATTAAAAAAAAGAAGATATTTCCCATTCTCAGTGTAGACTCTTCCGCTCATTTTTGCAGCATTGTCATGTCCTTAAAACATCAAACATGACAGCCACATGACGTTCAGCAGGATCTTAGGCAACAGCCACATATGTAAACTACAGACGATGATACCATTGGTGACTCAATATAATTACACCCTTGCTCCTAGACCCTGCCTTTCTGCGCATCCAAAGCACACGATAGACATTATTGTATTGCTTTGCCCTTCGTTTTTGTCCGGTAGGTAGGGAACAGGCCTCACTATTGTCTTCATCCCACATATATAGGGAAAGCTTTCCCAGGAGTGATCTGCCCAAAGTCCCATTGGCAGTAAGAGTCAGTGGAAAGGAAATGGCTGGAGTCTTAATTTAAAAGACAGGACTTCCTGTAGCAGCAACTCCAGGTCTCAGTGCTGGGATATTTCTAACAGCAGGCGTCCTCAGAGCCGGAGGGCACAGGGGGCTCATTATTTTCCTTCATCTGTGGATGTATGGGAAGGACTTGAGTACAAGATAGCTTAACGAGCTCACTTCAGCAGCATGCATTGTTGAGTCTGCATGGGTATTCAATGCATCCTTTCTTTTCTTTCTTTCCAAGACGGCAGGGGCATTGCAAACATAGCTTCACAAAGTAGGATCCACAGCAGAATCTGGAATACAAATAGGAATTTGATGGTTTTGTTTGTTTGCTTGGTTGGTTGATTTTTTTGTACTAGAAGTGATCCTAAGGTAGGGGTGTGGCTCATTGGAACAATGCTTGCGTAGGATGTGTGAGGTCCTGGATTTGATCACCAGCTCCCTCCCCTTAAATAAATAAAATAAAATAGAATAAATAAAAGGAGCACTTCTTCTGTGCTGTTGAAAGCTTAAGGAGTAGTTAGGCCCCTGTCTTCTGGAATGTGAGCCCTTTTGTTCAGAAACTTCCTGGTAAAGAATTCCATAAGCAACATTGTTTAGTTAATCATAGCTAGAGCTTAGTTGTAGGTAAGCTAGATGTGAAGTGTCATTGCATCTTCAACTTAGATGTGTGCATACTTAAATTCAGGAGCAAGCCCACAGGATTTGAACTCCTAACCTTTAAAACATTGGCAGCTCCTTTGGCTACCAGGAAAACTGGTTGGTTCCTATTTGCCAGGACTTGCAGCTCTTGGGCAGACAGAGCTCCATTGATTCCATGGCTCCCACAGACTGACACCGAGAAGCCTGAAGGAATATCCATTTTAGAATGAGGTCTGTGGCCTTAAAGGGATTCTGAGGCCTTGACTCGGCCCCTTACCTCACCGCCACACTTTCAGGCTTGTAGCCTCATGGGGGAATCACACCGGAAGGCGCATGCTTCCATCTTGCTGTAAAGACACGCTGTTGCATTTCGAGGAGTGCATGCTTCCATCTTGCTGAAAAGATGTGTTGTTGCATTGGGAGGAGAAGGAAGGCAATTTTCCTGGACATTCCTCTCAAACTAGAGCACTCACAGTGTTTTGTTTTGGTTTTGGTTTATAAAACCCCCAACAGAGCAGGGGCTGCTGGTGTCTCTGGGTGGTAAGGCTTCAGCCTCATGGGCTGTTAGTCCAGGAGTGGTAATTAAAATCAAAACCCTTTTTTCCCTGCCACTTGGCATGTGCTAACTTTTCTCCAAGCAGTCAGAATTGGGCTGCACCCCTTCTCTGACTGTTTAATGATCACATCAGAAGATCAAGTCTCTTAAAATAGAGTCAGACTTCAGCTCCAACAAATAATTTTAAGAAAGAGAAAGAAAGAAAGAAAGAGAACCTCAGAGGTAGAACTGTTCCTAACATCTGACAGTGACCTGAAAACGCAAAAGTAAGCATAGCCTGTGACACTACATGACAGAAGGAATGAACATAAAAAAGGTTTGAACTTCATTCTCTGCAGGTTTTAAAGACAACCTATGCCAAAATCTGCTTTCTGTTTTTTTTTTTTTTAAACCTGGCTCCTGCCTTCAGGTTTGGCTGGGAAGAAAAGCTTGGAAGACCATGGCTTGGAATGTGTGAATGTTGAATTCGACAGTGTTCCCTTTCTGTATAAAAAGCAAGCCTCTGCTATGACTGCATATATGGTTTGAGTCTCTTCTTGCTGTCAGTCAGAAACGGTGACTGGAATGTGGGATTTCAGACTGGCTTCCTTTGGTTCACTGCTCTCCACTCACAATGGGCCAGAGTGGAGGAATGGCCGGAGATGAGTTGTGAAAGGCCACCCAGCAATTTGGATGAAGAGTCTGGATTAGAAACTTGGAATTTTCACGTCATTCTCCAAAACTCTGCAAACCTGGTCCACAAAAGTAAAGTTTTCTAAGATGCTGAAGCCCAAAGGTGTGTGGTGAGCCAGCCACAGACATGAGGTGTGCTTCCACCTTGGAGTTCTCCCTGGCCACAGGGGGCCAGACGTGGGACACGTTAATGAAATCATTGACACTCACTAGAGCAGAGTTAGAATTAAAAATTGTCTTACCACAAGTTATTCCAATTTACAACATATCCTAATTCAGATAAGCAGGGAAGTGCTATTCACCCTAACCCCAGTCAAGTCAGTGAACAACAGATACAAAATGCATTGTAAGATCTATCTCAAGTCACAGCTCTTATGCCACACACTTAGAAAATCAGCGATGATTACCCATGGAAAACAGAAGGCATTCTTCTGTATAAAACCAGAGAGTCTATCTCAGCACCATACAACAAAGAGGAAGTTAAATGAGGAAAGGTATTCCCAGGAAAGAAGGAAAGGTCACCATCATAGGACCTTTGAGTAACGCAGATCTCTGTGCTTCAGTGGGAGGGAAGAGTATCCAGAAGGACCTGGGAGTGAGCATTCTCTGTAATGAGTACAAACAATGAGAGTGTGGGATCTGGGACAGTGTACAACTCAGAAGATGATCTGAGGACATACTGAGCCATGGTCAAAGAAGCAGGAATGACCAGAGGTGTCTCCCTGGGTCACGCTCACCATAAAACCAGACGGGCACTGTATGTTACCTATAGTTTTTTGCATCCATACATTTGTCCAAGTTAACAATTGCTTGTATATTCATTTCATACTGTGTCTGTTGAGCTCATAAAATCATATTAAAACTGTCTCTTTACATACTGTTAAGCATAATAATTAGGGACTTCAGGGTCCTACTTGGTGAATTATGTCTGCATTGTGGTAGCATTACTTGATCATTTGTTCTGATTGAAGTCATACTTGGGGAATCTTTTCTTTTCCTTGGTTTGCTTTCTAGGGACAAACCAACCAACTTCATATTATTATAAGAGTCCCATAATCAAAGGAATTATAATTGTTCCTTCCTACTCCCCATGAAAGTATCCTGAAATCTTCAATGCCAGTAACTAACTTTATTTACATTCAAATATGCAACCTAAACCTGATGCTCTACTCATTTCATTTATTTATTCATTTTACCATCATCTAACACGTATGCATTGAGCACTCACTGTGACCTTGACTTACAATAAGCTTACCAGACACAGTCCTGACACCCACAGTGCTTACAGCTGACTCAGGGAATATAGACACGAAATGAACAAACCGTTCAATGCTTAGGACTACAAGTTATATGAAGCCCTGTGGGGGGAAATGAATTTCCATTCACACTGTTGGAAACCATGAGAAACGACCTGGTTTTGATCTCAAAACAAAAACAAACAAACAAACCCAAGAGCTAAGACCAAAAAAATTTTAAAAAGTTGAT